TCTGTGGGCCGGGTCAGCACAGGGGCCAGCGAAGGGGTTGCTGGGGGCTGAGCAGGGGATGTGTGTGTGCACGCAGCAGAGAGGACACACATGGAAACAAAGACAACTTTTAGACAGCGTTCGCTAAACACACAATCTATTACATTTTATTTTAACCTTAAATACTCACCACTGCCCCAATTTTCTCCTAGGTCTTGCTCCTAAAAACATTATTCACTAATTCAGCAGCGCGTAGCCATTCACTCAAAGCAAGGCTCGGAAATGAAGAGATTTAAATCACCAGGCTTGGACCTACTTGATAAGAGAGTTTTACAAGTATTTATCAGTTGGGGGTCAGGGTTTGTTTCTAGCAGTTGGGAGAGAGTTACCCAGGGAATTCTAGCACTATGGATAAATGCTTCCATACAGCTTTGGCAGGAGGGCGGGTTTCAAAACTCGTGTTTGACAAGGGGTAAAACTGAGCATTGAAGCAGATTGGCTGATGCTCTAAAGCTTTGACAGCGTAAATTGCGTATGCACAGCCCAAGTCGCCGTGGCCGTGAAACCAGAGCCTGTCCCAGCCCGGTGCAGAGCAGCAGCACCGGGCCCAGCTGTGAGCAACAGCTCCCAAAACAGACAGGGTGAGCACAGGGGGCTAACACTGAGGAGCTAACACTGGGTGGCTAACATTGAGCAGCCCACATCTGACGCTCCAAACAGCTGGCAGTAGATCCACCTGCAGACTAAGGGCGCAGGTTCAGCATCTCCTGCATCCAGAAAGGCCAACCTGCACCCAGGTACCTGTGTTACTTTGCTCCCAGGACCACCTCCCCAGCCCCAGGGCACAAACTGGGAGCAGGTTCGGCTCTGGATCTGAGAGCTGGGAGCCTCACTGCTGCTGCTTCTGAGAGTCAACCAGATGCAGATGGGAACAGGTCCAATATATTCTATTTCCTAAGGCTTCTAGAGACCTGGTGACACTACTCCTGTACCAGCCCAGGCATTGCCCTTCACAGAGGGGCTTTTGCTGATTTGAGGTGCTCACTGCAAGAATATTAAACCAAACCTTCAGCAGGGGTAACTCCACCACTCACACGGTGAAGAGGAGAGAGCTGCAGTAACTCAGTAACTCGTTTTGAGCAGAGCCTCAAGTGAATCACTGGATGCTGCTCGGGCGGGGGGTTCCCAGACAGCTAAGCACTGCTTCCCACACGGAGCAACACCCGCTGCCGGCATCACAAGCAGGGGGATGCAAGTCAAACCTGTCTGGGAGCTCCAGGCCTGGCTGGGACTGCCCCAGCTCACGGAAAAGCTCCATTTGACAGTGGAATGCCTTAAGGCCCTTCCTTACTGTAAAGGATCTCCTGGCTGCCCACGTGTCTGAGACAAATCTGACACCAGCGCTCACCGACAGCAGAAACTCCTGCGAGGTGACAGATGAAACCAAATCTGCATTGGTTTTAAATGCCACCTGCATGAAAACAGCCCAGCACGCACGTAGGAAACCTGCTAGAGCAACAGGGAACACGAAACACCAGGACAAAGGCCCGAGACAATGACAACACCACATGGAAGCCACGAACAAAAACACGTGTCTGGTGCTGCTGAGCCATCGCTCCACATTTAGCTCAGCGCAGCAAGTTCAAGATGAACACCTGACACAAAGCCACTTCTGAGATTTGCAAGTGGGACTAAATCAAAGTTCCTACTTAAATTTTGGTTTCAGCCACACTTTCCTTCTCCTTCCCCAGCCCCGACAGAGTTTTGGGGCTTTGCAGAGCATCACAAAGGAGTTCACCCCCCAAAAAAGCATCTGGAAAGGGCTTCCTACAGCACAGCCTCGGTGAGGCCTCACCACGCAGGGACTCACCAGGGGTGTACCAGAAGGCCACGACGGTTGTAGCACAGAAGCCACGTCAGTGCATTTGTTTCATGAACCCTGCTGGGGAGCCCTCGCTCTTGAGGAGGTGTGAGATCAGCACCCCCCAGCTCAGAGGCTGATCATCCCCAAACAAACCAGTGCAAAGCAGATTCTTCCTTCTTCCAATCACAGCCCCTCTCAGAGCACAGGGAATGCAGCCACCAAGATGAAGTTCATTCCTCCCCGGGCAGAGGAGGACTGGGAGCCATAACACATGGTTGGTTTGTTAAACAAATTCATCGTTTCAGTGGTTGAGCTTGTTCATTTTGCATGGGGGAAATGAGATGTGGGCAAGGCTAGAAAAAAAATGTCAAATATTCCTTTTCCCTCCCCCTGTCCCCTGCAATTAATACCAACACATCTCCAAATAAGTTAAAATGTCTCTTTGAAGTTTTGGTAGCACCAAATTCTATCCCTTCCCTTCTTCTATCCCCATGTTGTAAACTGGAACACACTGGCCCAAGAGCATCACAGAACCACAGAATATTCTGAGTTGGAAGGGATCCACAAGGATCATCGAGTCCAACTCTAAATCTAACCAGCTTAAAAGGGTTTGGCAAAAAGAAGCATCAGCCTTCCCCGTGCACACACAAAAACACACTCCCCAAAAAACCCACACCCCTCGTTCCTCTAACAAAGCCTTTTATGCCTGTGGGCATCTGCACATCTTTAGTAGCTGCCAGGATCGTTTCAACAGCTGGATTTTGGGTTACAAAGAGCTACAACAAATCCAGAGTCCGTGTGGACTCCACGTGCACCTCCCATCCCATGGCCAATTCCTGCCCAACCCACTTTGCTCCAGACAGGGCACTGAGCGCAACGGCTTCTGCTTTTTACTCGTAGCACTGGAGCTTATTCTAAAATTGTACATTTAAATAAACCCAGTCATTTTAATCCAGTATGCAGAATTAAAAGCTATCCTGTCCACACAACGCTAGGATGTTTTCTTTCTTCTCAAAGGCCAAATCTAACAAGTAAAACAGAAGAGACAAATTACTTTGGCGGCAAATGATTAAAAAAATCTGGCTCGACATTCTGCTCGTCCGTTGTGGTGTGTAATTGAGATACATCCTGCAGAAGACCCCCCAGCCAGCTCCCCGTTACGTGGGAACCACGATACTCTTGGCCAGCAAAATGAGAAGAGCGAGATCTGCGTTTCCATCCGCTTGCTCCAAGGCCTCGAGAGCCTCCTGCGGGGTGAAACCGGCACCGAGGATCCGCTCGACGTCGGCCGCTGGGAAAGCCGGGGCTGGAGCAGCGCCCGTGGCCAGTCCGGCGCAGGCAGCTGGTGGGTCTGGCGGTGGCTCCTCACACCCACCCTCAGCAGCAGCACTGCCGCTTCTGCCAGGCGCTCCCGTGACCGGGTCCCGCGCATCCCGAGGTGCACCGTCACCCGAGGCACGTGTGGAGGAAACGGGGGTGTTTTGCTGCAAAGTCGGACTGGCTGCGCTCTGAGAACCTCCTGCCAAAGCCTCCCCCTGCTCCGGGCTCTGCTGCTGCCCAGCTGTGGCTGCAGAACTCTCCAGGACCAAATGGCTCTTACCTGGAGCCTTCTGCCTCGTGAAAGGCCCCTCCCCGAGCGCAGGCTGCCCGTGACCCACGGGCACAGTGCTGACGTGCTCTCTGCTGGAATCACAGGGCTGGCTCCCCTCAGACCTCACCTCAGGGCAGGAACAGCTCTGCTCCTGGCTTGCTGGATCCCAGCCTCTCTGCTCACCTGTCAGGAAGCCCCTTCTCCACTGCTGCTGGCTCCCTGTGAACCATTTCCAGCCGGGAGACTTCTTCCGAGGCAAGGATCTTACAGTCCCCTTTCCGACTGACAACCAGCAGTTTGTGAAGCTCTTTCAAGGCTGACGCCAGAGGGAAATATGGCTCTTCTGAAGGTCTTCCTGGAGCAGTGTCCAGCTCATGGATGCTGGAAGGGGAAGAGCTGACTTCAGCCACCAAATTAGACAACTCTGCAGGGATTTCCCTCGTGCTTTCAGACTGTGGGACATCACTGGTGGGAAGCAGATCCCTCGGGGAGGACGGAGACTTCAGCAACTCCACTTCCATGGAAAAGGCGTCTGAGCTCAGGTCAGATACATGTCTGTCCTCGGGCTGCTGCTTCTGCTCCCTTGCTGAGCTCTGCATTTCAGCTGCAGCCTGCTCAACTCCATCGACTTCCATGGAGGCTTCCATGTGCACACAGGAGGCTGACAGCTGGATAATCCCTTTTGAAAGACCTGCTCTCTCCAGTCCATCTCTCGTTTCCAGGGGAGGATCTTCTGGCTGGTTGGCTTCTGCCACAACGGGTTTCTCACCCCCACCAACTTGGCAAGGAGGTTCTGGGTCAGTTGTCTCAGTTTGCTCCTCCAGATGTTCCTTTTCTGGCTCTTTGCACGTCTGATGGTCTATGGGAAGCTCATGCTCTTGCTCCTGCTCCCAAGGCAGACAGACATCTTCATCCTGCCCGTGCTTGGCAGCAGTGTCAGTCAAATTGTCCTTTGTCACTTCCAGAGGGTGTTCCTGACTGTGACCTTGTCCTTTAGCATTACATTCCTTTAAAATGTCAGCAGTAAATGTTTCTTTGAGTGTCTTCTGTGAAAGGCAAGCTGGATTGGAGCAGGTTCCCTCCCCGGTGTGGGGAGAGGGGTTATTTGCCAAGGAAGAGCTATTGGAAAGATGCTCTAATACCAGAGGATGCTCTTTTTCCGGGGTTATCTGGCGTTCAGGTGAAGAGTCAAAAGTCTTGACGGCTCTGGGATCAGTGGGCTCTGCGAGGCTGGATTCGGATGAGCAAATTGAAGCAGGGGCAGAGACAGAACGATCAAGTAATTGATTTGTGGGATTACAGATCTTGGAATTTAGTCCTGAAGACTGGACTGGATTTTGAAACCCATCAGAAGCTGGTAATGAGGGCATTTCCAGTGAGGTAGTTTCTTTGTCACTATTCTCTGGAGAAGACAGAAGGACAGGAGCAGTCAGGACACGGCAGGACCACCCTCCGCACCACGCAGCGCAAACCGAACGGGGGGCTGTAAATACCTGGTCTGTGGCCCACTCCAGCTGCAGTAAACACACACTACATGCATCAAGGCTTCCGACGCTCTGTTTGGATTAGGAAACAAACACACCAAACTCGTGTTAGCATTCAGAGCACACACCATGCACGGGCACAGCCCTGCTCAGCTCCCCTCCCATCGTCCGGGCGAGACAGCGCGGAGGCTGCGGCAGCTCCTGCCTCCCAGAAGGATCCTGCCCAGGAAATTCGGTACATCGAGTCAAGACAGCTCTGCCAAAGAACAATTTAAAGGTTGCCGTGTACTGTCTGTGCTGCAGAGCGGTCCGTGGGTGATGCTACACACTCGGCAAACCACACGGCACATGTGTCTACTGGTCTGCTTCCCCTCTGGCTGGAGACATTCAGGAGACACGTTTCAGGGATATGAGAACTGAGATGGCTGCACCATTCTCGGGCTGTGCTCCCAGCAGTGCCACCACAGGCAAGAGAAGGCGAGCAATCACCAGCCTGCTGCAAAAGGGTGCAGATCCAAGGGGGAAAGGAATCCCCCAAAGGAGCTGGGAAGAGCAAAGCGAACGAGAATCGGGCAGAAGCCAAGCCCAGCTCGCTGCTTCCCTCTCCCCACGAGACTGGGTGAATTGCAGGTGTCTACCAGTAGCACCAAACACTGCTCTGGTTATCAGGAGAGATTAAAGAGGTGACCTTATCTTGCTGACAGTCTAACCTAGCTGAGGTATCAGCACTCTCGTTAAATCACTCACTGACCTTTGCGGTCGGATCTGTCCTGCCACCACAGCCCTGCTCCTCCCAGCTCACACATCCACATTCTGTGCTGCACGAGCTCCCTTTCCCTTCCCAAACTCAGTGGTCTTAAACACTGCTTTTTCCTGAAGTCTTCCCCTATTTACAGGAGTACAGGGACACAGCTCACCATGCCCACACCTACAGCCAGGATTTGCTTTAAATGCCACAACTTGGAACCTGCCTTTCTCTCCTCAGCCTCTTGTTTTTTATTCTGTTAACAAGAACTGGTGCAGTATGTGCTGTGATACCACCCCTCAGACTGATGCACTGCTCATCTTTCCTAAGGGAAAAGCCTTGTGACACAGGATATGGATGGAAACCAGAGGGATCCTTCCTGTTTCTACGTGGAAGGATTACGTTCTCGCTCTCTGTTCCCAAATCAACCCTTTAGGGAGGAAGCAGAACTGTCTTTTGACCCGTTGGATCATTACTGAGGGTCTGATCAAACGGGCTGGGGAGCTGCATTTAGGCAGCAGCAGGAGCTGGTTTTCTGCCAAGCACTGCTCTGTGTCATCCTCCTCCTGGGGCTGAGCCCCAGCCCCATCCGGGATATCGATCCAGCTAATACCAGGAACAAACTCTTCCCCACAAAGTGCACCATCAGGGATAAATTCCCCTCAGGAATTTAAATCGGGAACAGCCCGAGTTGTGTGTGGTGGCAGCAACTCGGACCGAGGCTGCCTGGATGAACAGCTGTGTATGGGGTGACCTGCCTGGCTACACTTCCTTTCCTCCTCCTCAAACAGCTCCAGTTTTGCTGCCAGGTTTGGGGAATCCCCAAGATCACAGAGTTTCTCCAGTGATGGGAAATTGGCACAGAAGAGCACCAAGCCCTCAGAGATAATGAGGACGTGGAGGATCCGGATCCCAGTGAACCACAGCAGGGCTCCACCACCACCTCAGCTGCCTCCTGGAGGTCTCAACCACCGGCAGGTCAGCTGACAGAAGTCATGAGGCTCCCTTAAGTGGGCTTCAGGGATTAAATAAAGCTCAGGGATAATCCAGGTGCATTCAAAACGAGCACTTTAATAGCCTCCAGGTGCATGCAGCCTTTGGTGTTGTACCAGCTCCTGGCAGGCAGCAAAAATTCCAGCTCTTAGGAAAGAACACACATCTTGTAGTGAGCTGAGCTTCTGCGGTGCTTCCTCACGTTCTCTTTCTCTCCTTCTTCCGTTTCCTGTTCTTTCCTCTCTTGGTTTTCCTGGAACCACCTAGCAGCAACTCAGGTTTTGGAAGAGAGAGAGAGGGAATGTGCTGACATTTTAGGATACAGCCAACAAATGCCTGTGGGCCAGGGGCTGGTCCTGCGTCAGGGCTGTCACAGTCAGTGTGAACACAGCCCCCCTTAGTGCTGTGTTTTGGTGTTCTGTGAGCAGGAGGTGAACACACAACGTGGATTTCCTACTCCCATAAATCTTTGACATTCCTCTAGGGCTCAGCACCAACAGAAAGTGGCCGAGTGCTGATCAGGCTGAACAAAGCCATGTGGTCCTTAGACTGGAGGAGGTACATAAGCAGCTTGGATTTAAGTCATTTCAGGCACTTTTCTTTTTAAAACACTCGACTAAAATGTTTTCTATTGTAAGGACTCATAGTTTGAGCTGAGGTTTGCTTGTTATTCAACCCTTTCAGCAGAGAACTAAGCCCAGCCAACTATAATGTCTGCAAAGTCTGATCCAAAGTGGAGATATATTCCAAAAACCAACTCAGGCTCCATCAGGCTCCAGGTTTTAACAGGAAAAGAACTAATATTTACACCTGCCAGGTTATGAGAAAGAGACACGAGCCCAGGATGCTGAACTTGAGTTTTAGAGACATCAAAACACGATTGGAAGGTCAAATATGGTTAAATATTAATATTTAAATATGGTTAAAACATATATAAATATTAATATCTAATAAACAAATAAAAATAAACTTAATATATGGTTAAATCTTATCTCACTTCAATCTTAAATATGAGCATGCTAGAGTTAAAAAATTAGCAATAAAAATGTTGAAATCAACTTCATCAGCTTAAACCTGACCCAGCAAAGAGTTCTGCATGTGTGTAGAAAGCAGAATTTACTGTGTCCTTCCAGAGGGAAAATGAGCAGGAAATGAACAGATCTCTATAAGACACTTGGATATAAAATGTTATCTTTTAAAAATTTTGGAAAAGGCCTAAGAAATACACCCTGAGGTATTCACAGCTTCCCTGCAACAGCAGGGAAAAAAGAATGAGTTTTTCCTTTAGCCCAAAGCTGAATTAAGGGAGGAGCTGAACAGAAAATGTGAGTTTGGCTCATAGCTCAGCTCTCAGCTATTTTGGCTGAAAATAAAATGACTTCACTAAATTTTGCAGCCACCAAAATGTTCCCTAGCCCAGGCACTGCATCTGTGCAGCATTTGGATTCCAGGGGCACCAGGAACAAAACTAGGGGAGGGTGAGAGTTCTCTTTGCAGATCACGTTTACAGCTGAGGATGCACATCGGGATGTGAATTCAGCTTTGGAAATTTAGAGCAACCAGAAGCAATTCCCCCTCCAAAGGCACGAGCAGCGTTCCAGAGAAAAACGCTGTTTCTAAAAACTGCCACGAGCTCCAGTCACTGCCACAGCTGCTCTACTGTTCCACGGTGCAGCCATTCAGAGCAGGATTTGGGAAGCCTCCCCAAAGCTGTGCTGAAACACCACAGCTGAGCCACGGCCCTGCCAGGCACTACTGTGACACCAGTGAGTGGCTGTCACAGCCATCCACGGCCACACCTCCAGGGCCAGGAAACCAGGGCGGGCAGGAAGCTGCAGGGAAAGCACCAATTAAGCAGCAAACCCTCTCAGGTGCCTTGGTGCAGGTTTTGCTGTCCAGAAAGGGAGAAGTGCACTTGGAGCAGGAATAAAGCCCCTTCTCTCCACCCTTGGACGCTGCTCCCCGGAGCTGGAAGGGGAACTGCTCCCAGACATCCCGACACTCAGCAAAACACCGTGCAGGCTCCCGTTTCAGCTGGGCTCCTCCTGGTACCTGCTTCCTCCACGGATTTCTGTATTGCTTCTGCCAGCTCCTGGTCGGCGATCTCCTCGGGCCGCACGTCCTCGCGCCCCGCGCCGTAGGCCAGGCGGGCGCACTCCGGCAGCTCCCCCTCCGGCAGGAACGTGGTCTGAGAGCCCGTCGTGCCGATCACCAGAACGTTCTTCTTGAGGTCGATGGAGCACTGCAGAAGAGATCCACGCGTCAGGGGCCTGAGGGACAGCCAGAGAGTGTCCAGAGGCAGGGGAGAAACAAGGGGAGACAGCTCGATCCCGATGGGAACAGCTGCCGGCAGGTAATGCCACGCCGGGAGCATCAGCTCGAAGCAAAGGGCTCTGCCTGGCTCAATTTGTAATAAATCATTCAGTTAGAAAGCTTTGAGCATCTTTGATCAGAGCAAAAAGCTCCAGGCAGCAGCCAGATCCCCTGGAGCTGTCCATGATGGGTGTGGTGTACGTGCCTCTAGGATGGAAGATACTCCAGCATCCACTCTCCCAGCAAAACCCTAATGAATTGACAGGCAAGGCACTTATGTTGCACTCTGCACTTAACCTGGAAGAGCCAGTAACTGTTTCAGAAGAGACTTTGATACCTGATGCCTCTTAAGCATATCCAGTCCTAGGAGCATGTCCATGGGCTGCTCTTCCAGGATCGAGAAGGAGCACGCCAGGAAATCCCCTTCAATCTGCACCTGAGCTGAAACACAAGGGAGAGAAGTTACCACTACAGCACAACAAATCTGCTTTCTGCTCTTCCACCTCCTGGGGGAGGTCTGGGCACATCTGAAACCAGAGCTCTGATGTACTGCTCTGGTCACAGAGAGTCCAACCCTGTGCAAGCCCCAGGGACTGCCAGGCCTGTCGTGGTCCCAAGCTAATTATTTTAAAAGCTGACGTGCTCAGGAGCCTCAAGTCCTGCTTCTCTGACCCTCCAAACTCGAGGGGCTGTGAGTAGCTCATTAGAACACAAGCCTAAGCAGCAACAATAGCAAACAGAATTGATTTTTCAGTAATAAGGACAATCTTCTCCATCCAGAAAAGCTGCAGAGAGCACAGAGAGGCTCCTCTTCCCAAAGGAACAGCACACACTGCACTGTGCTGGAGCCCCTCCCAAGCAGCTCTCCCTGCCCAGCACTCCCACCCTAAACAGGAAAGGTCTTGGTGTTCCACATTCACCCCAGGTTTTGCCCCCAGGGAACATGTTCTCTGCAGGAGAAGACCTGCAGGAGCTGGGGACTCCCTCCCCTCCAAGTGTGATGGTAATTCCATTAAAATAAAGCATTAAAGGAGACAGAAAACAGAGTTCTGTGCCCGAGACAAACAAACACGTTGCAGATGCACTTTGATTTTACTCTGTGGGAGTTACAGCACCCAACCAGACACTCCTTGGTGCCAAGATTGTGGGAAATGCAGTCAAACCCCTGCTAAAGCTGCCCCCAAAATGCCACAGCACTTACCTAAGTGCACTCTGCCAATGATTTTCTGCGTGCCCACGCCCTTGGCGATGCCGGCCCACCGCCGATCCACCAGCCTCATGATGTTGCACCTCTCAGCACAGGCTTGGCTCATGATGGTCATCTGGGCACCTGCCAGCAACAGAATTCCTGCTAAATCCCCATCACAAATTGAAATTCTCTCCTGGAAGAGCTTAAGATCTGGCACTCAGCAGCTGCCCCAGGGCATAAAGGCTTCCTGGGTGTCCCACTGTGCTGACCTGGCTGCCCACACCTGGATCAGCACTGACTGTTACTGCAGCAATGAAACAACCCCAAGAACTTCCCCTTTGGGGCTGTGGATGGGAACCAGGAGTGTGAAATCCCCCATCTGCAAAATGAGATAAGACACATGTGGCAGTGACCTCCCAGGAATGGGAGCCCCAGAAACTCCCACAGGAGCCCTGATCCGGGCTGTTCACACGCTGCTCCTCTCAACAATCTGCTCTGCTGCCCTAAAACAACACCCAGGCCGTGCTCAGGGTTTAATGAGGTGCTTCAGCAACTTGTCATGCAGTGCTTTATTATGGGATTTTGGGGGAAAACTACTGGAATGTTTAGTGTCACCCTCAGTGAGGGAGAGTGTGGAGACAGATGAAAGTGGGGTAATTCACCTGAGTCCACAAAGGCTTTCACGGGGTGCCCGTTGACTTTGCAGTTGATGTAGAGCATCACCACCTGCCCGAAGCTCTCGGGCGCCTCTTCCATCGCTATCGTCATGTTCTCCTCAATGTTTTGTTGCCTGGATTTCATGGAGAGAGAGAAAAATCAGAGTTTCTACCAGCCAGGCCTTGTAACATCCCTCTGACTCACAGGCAGACCTGGAAATCCCCCCTGCTGCCACCCACCTTACAAACACACGTTTAAACCACGGCTTCGTTAGTAAACACACACCCTGGAGCTGAGGGATTGCTAGGAATGGTGTATTCCAGAGAGGCCCAGCTGCTCCCCAGCAGCCACTGCCCCTTCCAAGCCCTGCCTGACTCACACCACAGCTCCTGGTGACCTTGTGCTGGCCGCAGGAACCTGCACGACCGCGTCAACCCGGAGGAGTCACGAGCACAACCTGCGTATTCGTGAGTCACGCCCGGGGCACACGGAGATGTTGCCAGGAGCTACATCCCTGGAATCCCACACAGCAGCTGAACGTGAAAATCTTGCTGTTTCCCTGGTATCCTTCCTTTTCCAGGCTCAGGAAGGGAGGGAGGTGAGCAAAACCACAGCGAGAACGTCACCACGAGCACAAGCCCTTGGTGCAAATTCAGGCCGACAGAAGAAAAGCTCTCCCAGAAGCTCCTCATGGCCCCCAGGATAATCTTGGAAGAGATGGGTATCCACACTGGCTGCATCCAAAATAGCTTGACCTCCCAAAAAAGGGAAAAGGGCTCCTATTTTGATGCCATTTCATTTATCACCAGGAGGGCTGTGAAATCTGGGGACTGCTCAGCCCAAAGTGTTCCCAAACAGCTGCAGAGCCTTGGGCACAGCCCCTTTATCTGTCCCTCACCTACCCAGGGAAGAGTTCCTGTGCCTCCAAGCAATGATTCACTATCTACAAATGTCTGGTTTCTGCATTGCTGAGGTTTATCCAGCACCAACAACTCTTATCACCACTGAATTTTGTTCTGACCAAGGATGAGTCTGTACCAGACAGACACTTGGTTATCAGGGAGGGGGGGGAACCACCATCCTGACTCAAGGATTTATCACTCAGCTGAAGAAATGAAGCCTCAGCCCAAAGCAATTACATTTGGCAGGCAGCAAGAGGGAGGGAGGGAGCTGATGAGCAGGATGTGTTTCTGCAGAACATCACTCCGACAGCGGTGATGTTGGAGTCTGGAATTAGCCAGAGACACAGAAGAATTAGCAGGATGTGAAACCAACCTCCAGGGCAGCTGAAGAAGTGACACCATTGTTGCTGTGCTGAGCTCAGCCCAGAGACCAACACTGGCCCAGTCCTCTGCTCAGAACCCAGCTGAGGTGCCCCAAGTTCCACTCTCGAGACGGGCCTTCCACAAGTGCGCCAGTTCCAGACTGGACCAGCTCAGGCAGCTCCAGGACATCACACACATGGACAGAGGTGCTGTCACCTCATATCATGGAGTCATGGAATGCTTTGGGTGGGAAGGGACCTTAAAGACCATCCCACCCCCTGCCCTGGACAGGGACACCTTCCACCAGCCCAGGTTGCTCCAACCACATCCAACCTGGCCTTGGACACTTCCAGGGATCCAGGGGCAGCCACAGCTGCTCTGGGCACCCTGTGCCAGGGCCTGCCCACCCTCCCAGGGAAGAACGTTCTGTGCTCAGCTGGACACACTTCAGGGATGGGGTGCACCTGCACATCCCAACCTTCCCACATGCCAAGCTGGCCTGGAGCACTGCCCTGCAAGCAAAGGTGTCTTGATACAAGGGGTGTGTTGAGATTCTGCCTCCTCCAAGGAAAAGCCACACTGGATGGAAGCACAGAGCAGTGTTTTCCCCAGGGAAGAACCCCAAAGCCTGCAAAGCACTTTGGTTTGTTACCTTATGTCTTCTTCTATCTTGGCCTGTGCCTCGAGATCAAAGGGGTCAGCGGAGTAGAGTCGGATCCTCTCCTGCTCCCGCCGGGCTCGGTCCTGCTGTTGCTCCAGCAGCACCCTGGTGAATTTCTCTGTGGGAACAAGGAGATACAGAAATGCTTTTTACTGGAAATTACTCTTGCAAATCAAATTCTGGCACAGCAATCGCTTCCTTTGATGCCAGCTGAGGGGCAGGCTCGGCAGCACACACAGAAAAGGCTCCTCTGAGGGCAGCACGGATGGGCCTCAAAGGATTGGGGGTAAATGTGGGAACCTGCTGAGATAAAAAGCAACTGGACAGAGCTCATTGTCCTCCTGTCCCTACCCAGACCCTGCCCAATCAAACTCCATTTCCTGGCACACACATTGCTATAAGGAAAAAGAAATGAAAAACCCATAAAGGCCAACAACAAAACTTCCTTTAAACCCAAGGGAACCAAAGCCAGGGATTATAATCCTTAATGCTGAATGCCTACCACTGGAACCTGGGCTGGACATTAAGTCTAGATGCACATTTTAATACCACAGCTTTTAGATCCCCGCTTTTTGGATGGTTTCCTGACTATTTTTCACTACTTGGATGGGATCAGAAAAGGACTTGGCAGTGCATGGGGTCTGTACCCACGGAGGGCTGTGGGTTTGCTTCCAGGGATGCAGTTCCCAGGAAGCAGCTCTGCCTCAAGGGCTGTTACCTGCTCAGGGAGGTTGGTGGGTATGTTTTGCCATTTGGATTTTTGAAATTAGGCTTCCCTACAGCAGGTGCCTTCATCCAGCACAGCCACAGGGCATGGATCCATGTGGATATTTGGGAATCAGAGCTGAGCTGAACTGGATCTGTGCCCAAACACCAAGAGGAGCAGCTGTGCAGCAGGACAAGGACATAACCAGACCAAACCACTTCCTCCTGAGAGCCCAGTGCAGCCCTTTGGGACTGAAAATGGACATCTGGGTCCAAGTTTGACGTGCACAGACCAGGCAGAGCAGCAGAGGAGCCACTTTTGAGGGTCTTGGACTTAACCTCTGGTTTCCTGTGCCAAGAGCAGCACCTCTGCTCAAGGTGATGGGAAAGACTCCCAGCAAGAAGTGTGAAGAGGCCTGAGAATGCAAAGAACATGGGTTTAACTCTGGATATGAACTAAAGCCAGAATTCAAAATCAAATAGGCTGAAAATGTCCATGAAGTTTCTTTCTGGTTTCTTTTAACAGAGGGTAATCACTCAGATGTAACACTGAAAGTGGGAAAAGTCTCCTGCTTAAAGATCCTTCTCTTCACTCATTTCTCCAAACTCAACAGGATTTATTTCCCAACTAGACATCCTGCATGCCCAGAGTTTAGAAGCACATCTGCATGCCCAAAACTCTGCTCTTTTCATACCAAAATCAGAGTTCAAAGCTTTCACCACAGGAAGAACAAGGGACCAACATCGATTACTCACCTGCAGAGAAAGTGAAGGGCATGGTACAGGGCTTCAGCTGTGCCCAAACACATGGACACGTCCAAGATTAATAGAAACTTACACATTTATGATTATTGTTATTGAAAAAGCTCCTGGAAGACACTATTTCCGTGTTCCTTTTCCTCTCCCTTTCTGAGGTTCACTTCCACAGCAGCCAATAACTACGGACAGAGCCGGTTTTGGAGTGTGCTGCTCCCTGCTGAGTCCCAGCAGGCTCTGGATGCAGCAAACACACCACCTTTATTGGAAAATGTGCATTCGGGAGCGTCTTAGTGTAAAAACCAGGAGCTGAGTCGCCCATGTGCACAGACACCTGACTTATCTGTGCATCTGGGGTTTCTGAGTGGGGGACAGAGGATATTAAAGAAGCCAAGCAGGAGAAATACACCCAGAAAGGGAGGAGCTCTGCCTGGAGTGCTCCCAACTGGCTCCTTTCCCCCCCACGCTCCCTGAGCCTACAGCACCCCCAGCTCCTCAAACACCCTCTGATCAGCCCTCCCCCAGCTCCGAGCCCCACTCACCGAGGTCCCCGCTCAGCAAGGCCTCGGCCAGGGGCGGGTTGCGCTCCTTGAGCAGGGACAGCTCGTGGGGGTTGGCCAGCAGCATCTCCCGCAGCAGCGCGGGGTTGTCCAGGCCCTGCGGGAACGCCGGAGCATCCGGGGGCGACGGGCGAGGCCGCTGTGCCGGCGGCTGGGGCTGCTGCGAGGACGTCCCGGGCACGGCGATGCTGCTGAAGTCTATCCTGGGCAGACCTGGAGGGAGGAACACCACAGGTGTCGTGGGTACAACCTGCTGGAAAACCCTGGGGAGGATGAGCTGCCCTTAATGCTGCATTAGGGCGGATCCCGCGGGCAGCAGTTGGAGTCGGAAGCGCAGCCACGGCCCCGGGTTACTGGGTTAGGAACGACGGCGCGTTTATGCAACCGGGCTCGTCTGTCTGCCCCACTTCTAATCCCCTGAAATGCACTTGCTGGCTGGTTATTCCCTGCTTCACAGATGTGAATCCCTCACGGAGGGACCGCAGCACTAACCCCAGTGGCTCCAAAGGCACTTCGGAGTCTCTCGGGTTAAAGAAAAGCAGGGGAAAAAAAAAAAGTAGTACCATTCCTGCAGACCTGCATTGCAGGTACCCATCCTCCAGCTGAGGCAGGACCAGGACCTCAGCAGTGCTCCCACACCCTTCTCAGCCAGTGGCACCTTTTCCAGGGATATTTTATGACTGGGATTTGCTAAGAACGGTTGTGGAAGGCAGGACAGAGGTGCAGGGCTCCACTCAGGCATTCCCGGAGGAGCCTTTCACCTGTACACACGACTGTGCCACTGGGTTTGGGAAGATGGGGCTTCTCAGGGAATTTGCCACAGGACAGGTTTAGGACACACCCACAGGCGCTGCTTCTGGGTCTGACACAGCTGTGCCATTGCCCAGCAGGAAGGGAACCAGCGCTGGCAGGAAAACTCACACACCTTCACCAGAACTGTTCTTAACACGGTAAATCCCGAGGAACCTCTGCAGGCTCGGAGCAGCAGCTGGCACGGAGCCTTCCTCACCTGGGAAGCGGATGGAAGGCCGGGGCTCCACCGTCTCCTTCTGGCGCAGGATCACCACGTCCCCGTCCTTCAAGCCATAGGAGGCCAAGGACCTGTTGTTGTCGGTCAGCGGCCGCTCGGCATAAACGATCTGCGCGAGGGGGGAGCGCCACCAGCACCCCAGAGCGGAGGAAAACCAAAAACACGGCGAGAGGTTACTTTTCTGTAGGGGAAAAAGTGTTCCAATCCTCCAGACCCACGCCAAGCTTCAGAGGGCAAGGTGTGATGTTCTCACAGGCCTGGCCAACACCCCTCGGGCACGGCAGGGCCTCGACACGTCCGGGGTTGGACAGTGCAGGGTCGGACTTGCCAAGACCCAGCACATCAAAGGAGGGCCAGTGTGTCCTGATGGGAGGCCCAGATCATTAAGGGAAAGCAAGCTTTGACCAGGACTGTCTGCCCACATTTCCAAACTCCAACCTCTGCCATTACACAAGTCAGGGATGTTTTCTGCAGCGTGACCTGCCCCCAGGACAGCACCCACTGACCCTGGACGTACCGGCAGCACCGATCCGGGTGTATCCATGGATGATCCAGCCCAACACCTATGATCTCTGCCTCTTCCCACAACACAGCTCCCCAGAATAACCAGTTCTACAGGGACCTCAATCATTAGCTCAGTGCTTTCCAGTTCACTCCAGTGATGTAACTCCAGACTCGGAGCACCCAAAGGCCCTGCTCAGACTGCCATCAGTCCATGGTGGGAATGAACTTCTTGTCACTATCAAACACAAAGTCACATCCATTTCTATTTTGATCGCCTGACTTAATGAGGAGTCTGCACATTAAACACAAAAACACTGAAAGGTGAATAATCCCCATTGCAACATTTCCATTAACACTGGACCTGTAATACCTACAGACGCCCTGAATCGCAGGGAAGTAGAGAAAGTAAAATAAAGTTGGGCTTTATGGGAACAAATATTGCCAGAAATGGTATCAGCCAAAGCAGAGGTTTCTGTGCCTTCTCTGGAGCACAGCAAGACCAGGTGGATCGGTCCGACCGATGCTGCCCCTGGCAGGAGTCCAGAGCGAGGAGCACCAGAGAACTCGGCCTAAACCCCTCGGGAACACGATCAAATTTCACATTCACCACCCTGTGCAGCCAAACTGCATCTCTTTGGGGCTGGAGAAGGCCAGTTCAGCAAGAACACGTTCACCACAGGCTGGGACTGGCCGAGCCATGTGGGAGAAGCTTTCTCAGCCCTGATGCTATCGCAGGGAGCGGAGCCAACACGCTCCCAAAAACCCAACTACTGCGTGTCCTAAGGTCTAGACTACAGCCTTGCATTGCTTCACAGCAACTCCAAAATCCTACACAGGCTCTCCCTGTGACATTCTAACAGCACAGACCCACCTCAGCACGGTGCCAAAGCAGGATGAGGTGGGAGGAGCGGCAATAACCAGAACCCCGCAGGACAGCAGCCAGAGGCAGCAGGAGCAGGGAAACACGGGGTGGAAATCAGCACAAGCTTCCCTACCTTCTCACTGCCACCACCCTGCAGGTGCTGCCCGGCCTGGAGGCAGCGATGCTGAGGTGCCCAGTCTCTGCCCCCCACGGGATAACCAAGGTCAGAGCCTGGCAGGGCCCCGGCACGGCTCTCACGTTACCGGCCGGGGTCGGCGCCGCCACAGCCACGGCAAGCGCGTCGTAAATCCCAGCTGCACACCCAAATCTGGAATGGCAGATTCCCTGCGCAGACACTCTGGGAGAGACGAGTTAATCAGTTTAAGTGAGGCTTTACCTCCGTCATCTTTGCTGGGATTGGATTTATGAGCGTTCGGCCTCACATCCCAGACAATGAATTAAGCGCCCGGCGCTCGTGGTACATCCATTACAGCTCGGATTAATCCGCTCCTGACCCTTCTGCTCCACTCCTAAAACAGATTGGATTGTGCTGCCTTTTGATGATCTGGTTTGTGGCAGTTTTGCAGGATGGCAGGCTCTGGACCTGGGCAGGGATGCAGGCACTGATGGATTCACTGTGCATGATGAATCCATAGGGTAGAACCTCCTCACGGAGCAGGGAACCCCGAGCAGGAGTGCTGGATACCACCAGCAGCCAGCAACCAAGCCAAACCCAGAACCTATCAAACAGTCCTGAGCGTGGCAGAGGACAGGACGTGGAAGGCACAAAGAGAAAGAGAAATGAAGGGAATGAGGTGCTGCCAGAAGAACCCTCTGCCAGGAGCCTCCCTGCCCCTTGCCCTGAAAAGACACGGCCTTGGTGCGTGGAGGAGACCACAGGAAGCCCAATTATTTCCCCTCTCCTCACCCTGCTCCTCTTATCACCACAACCACCGTGTCACCTCTGTTATCTCACAGCGACCTGTGACCTCCGCCCCCTCCCAGCTCCTGCCCCACCCCAACGGCAGCACCCGAATGAACCTCCCAAACCAGCAGGGAGCAAGGCTGGGATTAACCCTCTCCCACGCACAGTCATGCTTTACTCCATCCTGCACGACCCTAACAATGAAATTCATCCTCTCTTGTGCCAACACAACACCTTCAACGCCTGCCTCAGCTGATGGAAAAGAGCAGAAAACAGCTGAGCTTGGTAGGTGTAAAACTGCCTGTCTGTGGTTTGAGAATGCAAAACCCTTCCACATCCAATGAGCTGCACCACTGATAACTTGCATTTTTATAACTTTCACAGAAACATTTGCGTTGGAAAAGCCCTCCAGGACCATGGAGTCCAACCTGTGCCTGATCCCCACCTTGTCCCCTAGCCCAGAGCACTGAGTGCCACGGCCAGGCCTTCCTTGGACACTCCAGGGATGGGGACTCCAAACCTCCCTGGGCAGCCTCTTCCAGTGTTTCACAACCACGAAAAAATTCCTCCTGATGTGCAACCTGCTCTCCCCACTGCAGATCCCCAGCACCCCTCACAGACACCGGGCAGGAGGAACAGAGAAAGGAGCAGTAAAGAACTGCCTGGGAAGCACGGCACGACGCGGCACAGGATGATGCACGAGTGGCAGATGGAGCAGCAGAAGGAAGGCAGAGGTGGCTACAAAAGCGCAGCGCTGCTGCCGTCCTCTGGGGCTGGCAGCACCCAAACCCTGCCCGGGTCAGCTGGGGGGGAGGGAACGACCCAAACCGGGGAACTCCCGGCAAAAAACAAGCACAGGAGCGACCCCTCGTTATCCCAGGTCCCTGTGACACAGGGGACAGAGCTGACAGGCAGGAGTTCCTGCTGATGATGTCAAAGCCACCACAGACTCCCACGTGTAGGGGTTGTCCCCGGATCCAGGACGTGGACACGGGATTTGTTGGAGCACAGAACCCTGATGTGAGGTGGGTTCTCTCTTTCTACCTGTCCAAAACCAAGAGTTCTTCCTCTCAAGGAAAATTCACCGCCCCTGGATTTTCTATCGTTGCTTTGAGGCTGTTTCTCCTCAACACCAACCTCTCATCCCAAAATTCTCCCTGCTCTGAGACCACTTCTCCCTCAACACCAACCTCCCATCCCAAAAAACAAGGCAGAGGGAAAGCCAAGCCCCACTGGGAACCTGCTGGATGAGGACAACTCCAGCTCCGGGGCTGCCCCTGCAGCAGCTCTTCCAGCGCTGACTAATCTCGGCTTGGCTGGAAAAACACTTCTTTAATGGGGACTGGGAAAAGGTTCGGGAAGCAAAAGCCACCACCAGTAAACTCCACAAACTCTGCCAGGCAGGGCCAGGAGAAAAGGAGCCAACCCCGCCCTGCCCAGGAAAAACCGGGAGGAACGGCCACAAAAGTGGGACTGAACCCAAAGCATGAGCAAACCCCAGAGGGACGGACAGATGGCCCAGGGCCGCCCCCACTCGCAGCCTCCCGCGTGTTTTGGCAGCGAGTGAGGCCCGAATCTGGGCTGAGAGGGAATATTTGCTGGGAAAACTACACGGATGTGCCCTCTGGTCCCACACCTGTGTGGAAAAAAGGGAGGAAAAGCCTCAGTGTGCCCTTTCTGCCCCAGACCAGCCAAGGCTTTGATGGGATAAACAAGCCCCGTCCCAAACGTTTCAGGTCCGTTCCCGAACATTTCAGGGATTTGAGGATCCCACGGGCCACCACCTTCCCCACTCTCCTACTCCCTTTCCTCTCGTCCAAACCCTGCCCCGCTTAAACATCAAATTCCTACGAAACCTCAATAAAAACAACAAACCCACGTTATTTCCCCCCCCTTTTCGGCCGCTCAGCGGGGGCAGACGGAGCCTTTTCCGGAGGCACCACAAGTCACCACCGGGCACTCGGAGCCCGGTCCCGATGGGGAAAACGAGGATTCTGAAGCAAAAGCGGCGGAGGCGAAGGGAGGGAGCCCGACCCTGCCCAACAACCCCCAAACAAGCCCCAAACTCCAGATGGGGGGGGCGGAGGCTCCGGGGACCGCGATCCCGGGAGAAAGGGGGGGGTCACGGAGCCGCTCCCGGCCGGGCCCGACCGCGGGGGCACCGCCCGGGGGCGGGGGTGGGGGGGGAGGCAGGCCCTGACCTGGCTCTCGGCCGCCGGGATGCCGGACTCCAGCTCGCAGAGGGCGCGGAAGTTCTGGAGCTCGAAGTCGGCGTCCACCTGGAGGCTGAAGGTGATCTCGGAGCGGTCGCGGCGCAGGCAGAACACGGTGAGCAGCATGGCCGTCCCCGCCGCCGCCAGCGCCGCCAAGCGCCGCCGTCGCAAAGCGCCCGCCCCGCCGGGCCCGGCGCCGCCCGTCAATCAGCGCCGCCCGACCAATCGGAGAGCGCCGCCCGGCACGAGGCACCGCCCCCTCCGCGCGCCCCGCACGGGGGAGGGGCCCGAGCGCCCCCGGGTCCCTGTGCCCACCCCGGGGCCTGTGTCCCCAAAGAGTCCCTGTGTCCCCAAAGAGTCCCTGTGTCCCCAAGGGGTCCCTGTGTCCCCAAAGAGTCCCTGTGTCCCCAAAGGGTCCCTGTGTCCCCAAAGGGTCCCGTGTCCCCAAAGGGTCCCTGTGTCCCCAAAGGGCCCCTGTGTCCCCAAGGGGTCCCTGTGTCCCCAAAGGGTCCCTGTGCCCCTCCCCGAGTCCTGTGTCCCCAAAGAGTCCCTGTGTCCCCAAGGGTCCCTGTGTCCCCAAAGAGCCCCTGTGTCCCCAAAAGGTCCCTGTGTCCCCAAAGGGTCCCTGTGTCCCCAAGGGGTCCCTGTGTCCCCAAGGGGTCCCTGTGCCTGCCCCAGATCCTCGTGTCCCCAAGGTGTCCCTGTGCCTTCCTTGGGCCCCCCTGTCCCCAAGAGGTCCTCATAGCTGCCCTGGGTCGTGTGTCCCCAGGGGGGAGACTCTGTATCCCCAAAGGGGGTCCTCAGGGGGTCCCTGTGCCCAGGGGGTTCCTGTGTCCCTGGGTGTCCCTGTGCTCCCTGGCAGTTCCTGTCCCCCTGGGGATCATGGTGTCCCTCGGGGTCCCCATGTCCCTGTGGTGGTCCCTGTGCCCCGGGGTGTCCCAGGCCCTCAGTGAACCTTTACAGGTGTCCCTGAACCCACCTGTTTGCTTTTTGGGGCACAGGGTGGCTTCTGGGGTGCCCTGTCCTCCTCAGTGTGCCTTTGGTGACACCTCAGAGCCTCTGTTGTGCTTTCTGGGGTGCCCCAAGCTCCCCTGTGCACCCCACACTCTCCTTTTTGCCTTTCAGCATTCACCAACCTCGGCACCATCCGACTGTTCCCTCTCAGCCCACCCTGGGGAACACCTGGAGCAGGTGAGGGTGATGTAGGGACACATCCCTCAGGTCTGGGGACACATCCCAACGCCCTATGCCATGAATTCACTCCCATGCAGGGTGAGAGGAATGAGACTTTATTTTGAACAGGGAATTGATCTCCAATCCCAATCATTCCAACCAACTCCAGTCCAAACCATTCCCTGGCAGAGCGAGACAAACATCACGACTCCTCAGTGAACACCAGAGGCATCCTGGTCCTGGGTTTGCAAGACACTTCAGCAATGGACCCCCCCAAATTTAATTGTCATTCCTATAAATTCCCCCGGGTGTCAAAATAAAAAGACCAGACGCGGTCCCGCAGCACATCCAGCACCCACGGCCACACGGCGGCTCCGAGCACTGCTCGGCCCCAGGAGAAGCTCCTCCTCCTCCCACAGGGAGCTCAGTCGGATTTCTCCTTCTCCTTCATGTGCAGGAAGACGAAGCTGAACATGAAGAGCCCGACCATCATGGAGAAGGCGCCGGCGTAGTAGGGATAGGCCGAGGGGATGAAGCGCTCATACTGCGTGTGCTGCAGGGGCCGCACAGACACCTGCCGGGACACAGGGGGCGGCCTTGGAGCGGGAAGCCTTTCCTCCTGGGAAAGGGTGGGATTGGCTCCCGCCACACTCACCTGTGTGGAGGAGTAGAGGTGGGTGTAGCCCAGGCGGTTGTAATCCACCTTGAACTGGAACACGCCGTACACGTCCGGCAGCTTGAACTGCACACTGTACTTGCCACCTGGGGGCGAGACAGGGGTGACACTGGGGTGACACCAGAAACTGGGGACGGTGAGGACACCCCCAGTGTGGGGCTGGGGTGATGACGGGGACTACCACTCCTCCTGAGGGGGACCCACCACTCCTCTTATGGGAGATCAACTGCTCCTTGTGAGGGGCACCCACCACTCGTCCTGAGGGGACCCCACCCCTCCTGTGAGGGGCACCCACCGTTCCTCTTGAGGAAGGTCCTCACGAAGGGGTCGATGCGCACGAACTCCAGCTGGATGTCGTCGCCGTCGAAGGGCACCCACCTGCCGTCAGCGAGCTTCTCGATCACGATGCTGTACTCCTGGCACACACCAACGAGCGGCGCCTGAGAACGGACCTCGACCCACTCGGGGCTCAAATGTCCCCAGACGCCTCTCCCGAGGCGCCTCCCGCGTGCCTGCCCGCCCGGGCCAGCCCGGGCCCCTCACCACGAGGTCGGTGACGGTGTAGGCGTTGGGCGGCGCGAGCTCCCCGACACGGTGGTGGGACACGGCCCCCACGCGCAGAACCCCCTCCTCCTTGAACACCCAGCGGGACAAGGCCACAGCCAGCTCGTAGTTACCCGTCTGCGAGTACCTGCGGAGCAAGGGAGGCTGAGACGGCTGGGAAAACACCCCCTGCTGAAACCAAACTGGGAATAAATGGGAAATGAACAAAACCCGAGCCAGGGTTAATGGAGGGAATCGCTTCCCAAAGCACATTCTTCCATAAGGCCCCAATTTACTTCGAGCTTTCTGCTCTTTCCCAAAACATAACCATTTGTCGCCTGTTTCCCAGGACTTCTGCCATCAAACCACTCCCCAGACATTCCCCAGGCAGGGACCCCAGGAAGCCAAGGCACCTCTTGGAGCCGGGAGTGGCCTTCTGCACGGCGGAGTTGAAGAAGGCGTCGCTGAAGAAGTCCAGGGAGCCGCTGAACACGACGCGGGCGTTGTTCCGCGCCTGCAGCCCCGCGATCAGCAGTGTGTTCTTCCCCACGGCGTGAGGGTACTGCGGGGCAACCGGGGGGGAACAGGGTTCAGCCACTTCGGGGATGGGTACAGAGGAGTTTGCTGGGGGGTGGGACAGTCTGGCTGTAGCAGCACAGGCTGCAGTTAAGGAGAAACCAAGTGGATCAGAATAAGCAGGAATGGGATTCAGATTCCCTCTGTGGCTGGGATGGGACCAGGAGAGACGCTTTGATCTCAGCTGGCCTTTCCTCTGAAGCACGGAGGACACGAGTCCCTCACACTGAACACCTCCCACCAGCAGGAAGCACAGAGGAAGATCCCCAGGGCAACACTGGGAAGCAGCCAACAGCTGACAGCCTGTCCCTTCCCAAATCAATTAGGAGATCCAGGATTTTCCCAAGGTGCAGAAATTTGGGGGGGATTTAATTGTGGAAGTAGAGCTCAAAAGAGGAGGGAAAGCGAGGGAGCATACCTGAGTGATGGGCTTATCCGGGAAGAAGGAGTAAGAGGTGGAGGAGCCAGTCAGGATATCCAGCACCAGCGGATTGTCGGGATCAGCCACCATCCTGGCAGGGAAAGCCACGGTGAGCAGGACGAAGACCACCAGGACCCCCCACCCAGAGGAGTGTACGGCCATCTGCTCAACCCCACAGACCTCCTCGCCCTTTGGCTGGGCCAAGAAACTAAGGATTTCCTCAAGATCTGTGCTCAAACTCCACTAACTTGTTAGGAGCCATTCCTAGGTACACCACTAAACTCCTTTGGAGAGCTGCCTTCCATTTTTGTTTGAAATCAAGAGAAATTTCTTATGCTCACACGAGGATTCATAGCAACACCACCGGTTTAATTCCACTCCCCCAAGGACTCCCAACCCCCCAGTCCTGCTCACCCAACTCCTCGGAACAGGATGGGGTTCAGAGCTGCCTTCCCCACAATGGTGGGGGCCTTCAGGAGATTCTCTGTGTCCGCCACGATCAGAGTGTGCTGGGAAAACAAGGGAGGATGGCATGAGGTGTGTCAGGGTCTGATGACAGGCAACAGCCTCTCAATTAAAAGTTAAATTTATTCTTACAGTCACAGCTGTCAGATGAATGTTGCAGTTAATTAAAAAGCAAAAACCCAGCATTTTTAATTATGATCAAATTAAATTAATACTGATCCTCGAGGAAATAAAAACTGCTTTTTGGTAAAGGGAGCAATACCCACAGTGCTTTACTTCCCTGTATTCAGCAACTTTCATCCTTAAACCAGGATGATAAATCCTTAAATCAGGATCCTTAAATCCACATACTGCTTCAGTAGTTTAATTTAAATAAAAATTAGCAAAATATATTTAGCTCAGACCTCAATATAGACTTTGGTTTTAAACTGCTGGATGACACGAAAAAAACTGTAGAAATGTGGGTGTTCCTGTACTCATCTGAAAATCTCTGAAAATCCTTATATTGATATGAGAATCTTGATGTGAAAATTCAGGGCTGAAGATTCTGCCTTCCCACATCTGAAGTGTCCCACTCAGGGTTTGGCACACCTCACCCAAAGGTGAAATTTCCCCCCCCCCCCAAAACTTTAGAGGGGTCCAGAACCAGTGTTAGTCACAGTGTCACTGGAACTACAATCTGAAGGATCTGAAAGCTGCAGCACTGAGGATTTACCACTTTCCTGGGAGGAAGGTAGGAAAGTAGAAAAGGGATGAAGAAAAAAGGGAGAACGAGGGCAGAGGATTTATCCCTAAGCCTTTATGCTTCAGATAAAGCTGCCCCAAAGGTGCAGGCAAACCATTTACCTGTCCAGGGTCGGATATATCATAGTTGTGATGGTCAATCACTGCTGTCCTCTCCTCGTCAAACTCGATCCCACACTCGCTGCCCAGCTCCCTCAGTGGGTCACCTGCAGGGACACAACAGATTCTCCATCAACATGGCACAGAAACATCACAGAAAAAGCCAGTTTAGCTTTAAATCCATGTGTTCAGTGCTCTACAAGCCAAACCCCCAGGAGCAAAACGACCTCCCCAGTTAAACTCCCCCTGAACGTGTCACTCAAGGCATTTATCACCCACCTCCCTCCAGAACAAACCTTGAGGTGCATGACAAGGAATGAGAAACTGGGCTTTCACACAGTTTCTGCTGCAGGAACTCGGGTGGCTGCCACGAATTCCTCCTCCCCAGGAGCATCTGCACTTACCGATGTCTGAGCTGGCGGCCACGAGGACGCT